TTCACGAGTGAAGCGTGATTCGTCTGCCATGGTTGTATCCTGGGACTCGATATTCGTACAGTTTCGTCTCACTACGGAGCGAATATTAAGAGTTAAGGAAAGAGATTTATCTCGCCTCCATGTCTTATATAATCGTTTATTTCCTTAACTCCGTCTTTCTTATATCGTCTATGTCGATCCGGTTTTCCGGCTTTTACAACATTAACAGGCCATCATCTTTTAAATGCTTAAGAAGAATCTTCTTTGTTTGTTAAGCTTGACGAATAGTTAAATGCTTTTTGCAGCTTGGGCAACTAGCCTACTGCAACGCACGACCAAGGAGGTATGTAAACTGAAATTATCTAGACCGTCTATGATTCTAGATCGTTAAGACAAAAGTAAATTGCACGTGACATGGTTCTTGTCCGTCTGGAGAAAGTGGCCCTTACGTGGGGCATATTCGTATTTAATGCGAATGATCTGATTTTAGATTCTTTATGTAATAAAACTTTGTTTACGCCAGTAAAATCACCTCATCGACGTGATTGTCACCCGCGAATTTACTTTTCTTCCGCTACGTCTGAACCAATTAACTGTAAACACGTGACAACCGCCTATTTCCTCTGGTGAAGGACAGTTTTACTTTTTACGACACGCCTACTATGACACACTCTCTTGCCAGCTTGAACTGGGTCCCATAGAGATCTTTCTCCTCTTGAAAGGGCCCCTCTTTGAGCTTATTACCGAACATAAATTAATTAGTAAGTACGGGTTTTTGTGTTACAAAAAAAAGTACGGGTTTTTAGAAGCGCGTAGATATCACATGCCACATATTACGAGTGTAGGGAAAATAATTCTCATCTTAACTACGAAGCGAGTATCATTTGACGTGGGACCTTTAAGATGATGACACGTAGCCAACCGTGGCCGTTGTACCAGTGATTGTCGGAAGGGGATCATACTAGAGTGGAAAGCACGCAAAGGCAAAACACACTTAAAACAGGTGGCGTCCTAGCTGGCAGTTGAACAACCAATGGTAAGGATACGTTGACGCGTGGAATTTGGCTGGTTGGTTTTATTGGTAAAATATCTTTTGGGTTTTCTTTATTTTTTGGTAAAAATTCTTTGGGTTTTATTTTGATAAATTTGTGTATTGGTAAATCATAAGTAAAAAATATAATATTTGAAAGAAGAATTAGATACATAGATATTGAAGACTTTAGAAATGGTACAAATGTAAAAATCGTAGATGAATTTACCCCAAAAAAATACCATAAATAAAAACTGAATTTCTCCAGAGGATCGTTTGTTATGAATTAGTAGTGCCGTGGATATTACTGGAGTTAAATCTTAAAAAGGAATGAAAGATGGTTATAGCCTGTTAGGTAAAAATGAACTATTAGAAAAATGAAACACAATAAGTTCAACTCGAGAAGACTTTTAGCATTGAAAGAGTAAACATGGGTGAGTCATGCTCCTCCATGTGACTTTTCTTTAATTTGCAGAGATAAAAAGTAACAAGTTAATTAAATATGTATTTATCTATACATATATAAGGAGTCCAGTGTATAGAAAGATTATGTGAAAGCAGTGCTTTGAATCATCTAGTGAGAGAAATAGTGAGAAACGCCTTACAAGAGATTTGGTATGTGTTTTGCTGGTCATCTTTCGTAGAAGAAGAAGAAGAAGAGGAAGCAGCCGAAGAAGAAGATTGATAACATCGGCGTTTGAGTAACAGAGAGATTGAGACAAGTATAGAAATGGCGATGAAGGGTTATTTGGATGAATATGAAAAGCTTGTGATTAGGATGAACACTCCAAGGTTTGTTTGCTTGTTTCTTTTATCTTCTTTTCGATTTTGTTGGATTTAAAACAGACTTCAATATTTTGTAAACCCAGAATTCTCAGTGTTTTAATAAAAATTTCAAAGTCTTTTTTCGATTTTTTCCAGTTAAAAATAGTAAAATATTTTAAAGTTTGTTCTTTCTGTCTTCATCCTTGAAAAATTTTCCAACTCTCTTTCCACGCTCTTCCATTAATCAACTTGTAATTCTTTCTAATATCTATCTTATCCAAACATTTAACTAATAAATTCCATTATTTAGAAATAATTTACTTTTTGGCACTAAATTAAAACGAATTCTTATATAATTACAGGGTCGTTATCGACAATGGTGTTTGTTCTTCAGCGACAATTGTCAAGGTTTGCTTTTCTTCTTCTTTTTAATTTTCTATACCACTATCAAATCAATAGTCTCAAAGCAAAATGTTTCATTTATAATTCTAAGAGATTAATAACTCAACAATGATTCTTCTTCTCTCAGGTTGACAGTCCAAGAGGACATGGTATACTGCTAGAAGCCGTTCAAATCCTCACCGATTTGAATCTCTCAATTAAAAAAGCTTACATCTCATCTGATGGTAGATGGAACATGGATGGTAATTACAAAATTTAATAATATTCAGATTTTTTTTTTTTGTGAAACATTTTCAGATTTATAATACTTTTTACCTAATACTCACTCTGTTTCTTTCTTCTTATTACTGTAGTTTTCCATGTGACTGATATAAACGGAAACAAACTAAATGATCAGAGCGTCTTAAGTTACATCGAACAGGTAACCCATTCTAACGTTGTCTGAATTCAAGAAAATGGTTTCTAAAAATAGATTTATTTTTCTTTCCTTGTTTAACAGTCCATTGAGACGGTTTACTACGGAGAAGACATTGAAGTAAACGGTTTAACAGCCTTAGAGTTAACCGGAACAGACCGAATCGGTTTACTATCCGAGATGTTTGCTGTTCTCTCCGACCTCAACTGCGATGTGGTTGACGCTAAGCTATGGACACACAACGGTAGAGTTGCCTCTATCATCTACCTCAAAGACTGCACCACAGGATCTCCGATTCTTGATTCTCATCGGTTATCAAAGATCGAAGGACGGCTAAAGAACGTTTTGAACGGCGATAACGACGTTAACTCCGCTGCAAAGACTTGCGTTTCGATGGATGTGATGACGCACGTTGAACGTAGGCTTCACCAGCTTATGTTTGAAGACAGAGACTACGAGAAGAGGTCCAAGAGACATGAGAGAGATCCTATGGTGGTTGTGACGGTTCAGAATTGGGCTGAGAGGAGTTACTCTGTGGTTAATGTTCATTGTCGGGACAGGACTAAGCTTTTGTTTGACGTGGTTTGCACGTTAACGGACATGGAGTATGCTGTTTTCCATGCTACTATCAACACGTCTTCAGACCAAGCTCACTTGGTATGTTTACTACAAAATTGGTTTAATAGTTTGATGGTTTTCTTGAGCTTATTTTTTGGTTAACTTCTTTAGGAATTCTATATCCGGCATAAGGATGGATCACCGATAAGTTCAGAAGCAGAGAGACAACGAGTGATACAATGCTTAGAAGCTGCAGTGGAAAGAAGAGCATCTGAGGTATGTATAAATTAGTCAGTCCTGAAGTTAATTGAATAGTTTAACCGATAATCTAAACCGGTGTGGTTTTGTTTTGTGTGTAGGGTGTGAGATTAGAGCTGAGACATCCAGACAAACAAGGTTTACTAGCGGAAGTTACACGGACGTTTAGGGAGAACGGTCTGAATGTTACGAGAACAGAGATATCAACGAGCTGCGGCATGGCTACAAACATATTCTATGTAACTGATGGGAATGGAGATGGAGCTGACTCGAAACTGATTGAATCGGTTAGGGAGAAAATCGGTTTAGAGTGTTTAAGAGTGAAGGAAATGCCATCTTTGAATCATAAAAAGGGAGATGGAGAAGAAGAGCAACAGACTAAAGCAGTGTTGGTTTCACTTGGGAGTTTGGTTTGGAGAAATCTAGTCAGCTTTGGTTTGATCAAATCATGTTCTTAAAATCTCTTTCAAATTCTTGGGGTTAAAAGAACCAAACCGGTTTGATAAAATTCATAGTTTGAGAGGCACGTAGACTTTTTAGCTTAAGAAGTCTACGTGCCTTAAAAATGAATGATTTCTCTATTGGTTTGGTTCTTTTGGTAAATTTAATTTTAAGTTATGAGTGATGTTTAGTTATATTCTTGTAAATAGAGGAAAAGAGGAGAGTGACGATTAGAAATTCAGAATTGATTGCTTTCTTATTGTGGGGTTTTAGCTGTTGGAGAAAGGTTTGTATAAAGTTTCTAAAATTAATTTTGTTTGTGTGTGTTGTTTGTTAAGTTATTAGTGGCTGACTTGAATTTTCTTGGTGGAATGTTACAAATTCTAAAAGGTTGGTCCAATTATTGTTGATAGATGTCCTACAAAAAAATTGCATCCATCAATTTTAAAAAGAATTAAGACATGCTTATTGGAACTTTGCATCATAAATTTCCAACAAGAAAAGGACAATAAAGGTAGGTAAGCCACAACAAAGCTTTTCGGTGGAGTAACTAGGAAAACGATATGCATTGTTGTCTCTCTATTTTCCATTTCACGTTGAGTAGTTTTCTTAATTTAAAAATAGGAAAACTAGACCTACTAACCACAACAAAAAAAAAACACAAATTTATTAACTAACCAAAATCTCCATGTCTCCTATAATATATTAGTTTAGATGAGTAGAAGAACCAAGTCTGCCTAGACCGAGACAAAGGGTATCTTGTTTTGGTAGAGATGTGGAAAGCTGCCCTGAACAGAAGAGAAGTGTTGTCTGGCTTCTTCAACACAAGGAAGATTGAAGGTTGTGGAATAATGAGTCTCTTGCAGATGTGAACATGTCCAAAGTGACTTCAAGTGTTGTGTTCTACAACAAAGTACTTTTTTATAATAAAAAATGTTAATTTTATACAAGAAGAATTTGTATCCAACTAATCAAACATAACTAGAGAAAACAGACTGCTTATAAACCCGGGACATAGAGTATATAACTAGAGAAAACAGACTGCTTATAAGGCGGTGGCGTGGTTTTAACTTTTAAGTAGGCTTCTCGTAAGAGTTTTGATTTCTGAACTGAGCAATGGCGCTGCGAATCATCTTCTCAACATGTGGCTGCACAAACAAGTGAGTACTATCAAGTACATGGATTATGAATTTCTGAGACGAAGGCATGGAGTTGTTCATGTTCACTATGAACTGTGTCATCGGAATATCACTACAAAAACAAAAGAAAAACTGAGTTAACCAAACACTTCAAACTGTACTAATAAATTATAAAAAGATAAGCTAGAGAAACGAACCAGGAGATGAACACTCCTTTGATTGCATTAACCACTGAGTTCTTATGTCAGTAAACCTCTTTGAAAAGAAGGAAACCCTGTAAAAAGCTGAATAGCATCAGAAGGAGAATCAAGAACATTGCTAAGACTGGTTTAAAACTCAAACCATATCATTAGCCTTATTGAACAATCATATGATGCAACGATTACCATAACTGGTTTTGAGCAGCATATTTCGATTCCCAAATCTATCACTCCAGACATATTTAGGTCAAGTTTCTACAGTGGAACGAAATCAATTGGATCTAACAAAGCTCTATAGAAGATCGATGAAACACGCTTCTTATAGAAGATGGAGTTGTTTGCGAGAGAAAGAGAGAAACAAGAACCACCTTGATAGATGAGATCACTCCGGCTTCACGAAGATGTCAGATAGTTAGGGCTTGCGTTAGGTTTTATAACATTAACCCTTAATTACATAACTTAAACCGAATGTTCTAAATTCAGAAAGTTTCCTTTTTTTTTTTAATTACAGAACCAATATTCGCATGAATTACCGAACTTTTTCCTAACATTAAACTTGTTTGAGTTGTATTTTTTCTGTTAGATATCAGTATCTGAAAAAAATGTTATTATGAAAGAAAAAAAAACACAAATCTTTCTGCCACTAATCTTACAAACAACACCAAACTTGTACCACAAGTAAACACTTTGTTCTTTCATTTTTCTCCCATCAAGGCGCTGTATCTTTAAGCGCTGATGAAAAACCAAAGAATCTGGATCGCATTTTCATCAGTCAGTCCTCGTAATCATCCATCGCCGAGTAAATCAACCTAAGAAAAAAGTTGCAGACAGAAACTTTGATTGATGAATAACGAAGAAGAAGCAGAGAATGATTCTAAAATATGTTTTTTTTTTTCTTTATTTACCAGAAGATAGTGAAAAGGAGGTTAAGGACTATGTAAGCAAGCTTAAACAGCCGTTTCTTCTTTTCCCAGCTAAGTAAATTGAAGATCTCCGTGACATCTACCAAGTGTTGTCGCTTCAAGTAACTAAACAACAGAGAAACACCGAATCAGATTATAATCAAAGACATCATCACCATGTTGATTAAGTTGTAAAAGAAAAAACAGGCTTACAGTTGGAAGTTGTAGTAGAGATAAGGGAGAGATAACAGTGACATGAACCAGTGTCTTGTTAAGAGGAAGAATACACATAGAACTCCTTGGATAATGAATTCAGGTAAAACCACTGAGTTTATCCTCGATGCAGAGTCGTAAGGGTTTAGGTGATCAAACTCCAGATCCGCTAAACAAACAAGCTGCCCCAAACGAAACAGTCATATTTAGTTTCTTAGACACAATATGTCGTTGACTGTCACCAACCAAAGCTATCATTATGAAGTTATTCGATTTTCTAGCTTATCAATCTTAATCTCATGATCATACTCTAAACTCAATTGCGCTACAATCGACAACAAAAAAAACTAATTTTGAACCTAGAGTAACTGCTTTGGTAATAACATTTCCAAAAATAGAAACTTTGCAATTACAATCATGAGGCAAGACATAAAAACTGTAGCAGAGACTACCCAGAAACACATAAAGCCTCCAGCTTTCAATTAAAAACTAGCAAATTCAATTAAACAAAAAAAAAGAAGAAGAGATCTTTAGAATTAGTTTTGTATAAAATTGAGAATCGGATCGAGAGGTAGAACCTGATAGATGATGATTATGACAAGAGTGATGAGAAAGAAGAAGGATATAAGCCATGTCCAAATATCTACCATCTTCCTCCGTCTAAAAAGATCGATGACGATGAGGAACAGATAGCAAGTTCTGAACTTGGTCTGTTATGAATGTAAAAGCGTAGTTTTAGGAGGAAAATCGAGAGCATTTATACAAGAGATTAGCTCCTCCGAAGACTAGAGGGATTTGGAGAGAATAAGATTAGGAATTACAAATATGTTAAGTTTTTAAGACAACAAGTTCGTGTCGTGGTCGGCGAGATTAGTTAGTTTAGTTCGGCTTCGGTTTCGAGATTTTGATCGGAATAATAGACTTTTGGTTCTGTTTATTTTACAATGTTTCGGTTAAGCTTCCAGTTATAACCGATTTCTTATCTTTGACACAAAAGTACCGTTCGATGCCGGTTTAGTATTCCGGTATGATTTTATAAGCCCGTGGGCCAATGAAGCTAGGCCTAAACAAATCTTCATAGTTTGAATGGGCTTGGTGGAAAAACAATATGGCACGAGAGCCGTTTAATTGTACAATCTATTACTATTAAAAGGGCTAATTCAAGCCACATTAGAGTGTCCACATAGGCATTTTTATTTAACCAATAATATTCTTCCAAAGCTCCATGTCATATTCGGTTTGACATCTGATTTTGGTTCTAAAATAAAATTAGGATTTTTGGTTTGGTTGTCTGAAATACTGGTTTGGGTTTGTGTCGGCAGAATAAGTAGTCTNATCTATTACTATTAAAAGGGCTAATTCAAGCCACATTAGAGTGTCCACATAGGCATTTTTATTTAACCAATAATATTCTTCCAAAGCTCCATGTCATATTCGGTTTGACATCTGATTTTGGTTCTAAAATAAAATTAGGATTTTTGGTTTGGTTGTCTGAAATACTGGTTTGGGTTTGTGTCGGCAGAATAAGTAGTCTCCAGATCCTCCCTCTCCTTTCGACTCCCTCACCTACGTTCTTTTCTCTTCAGTTTTTTCTCCATTAATCTGATCCACTCCTCTTCTAATCAATTATCTGCTTCAATCTATTCAATATTCAGTTTCTCTCATTGAGATTCAATGGAGTTCTCCCTTCATCTTCCTCCCCAACTTTGTATATATAGATCTCCCCTCTTTGGTTATGTTATGCTATCGATTAAACTTCCTTACTGCCACGTCATATGCAGCCTCAGTCAATACGTCGAACCCTCATCGAGTTTGTTTCCTCCGTTTCCTCTTCATCAAAAGTCAAAACTCTTTCGTCTCTATGATGGTTTGTTTATACTCTCCACTTCTTTCTCCTTAAATCGATAGTGTCTCTAAACCCTATACCTGCTCCATTCTTCCATCTCGTGAGTATGAGTGTACCGGGTCTGATTCGATGGGGTCGGAGGTCTCCGACGGGTTTGGTTTGATTCCGATTGCAATAAGAGATACGACGTCGTTTTGCTATTTTTGGTTTCAGTTCAAGAAGCTTTCGTGGTTTCTCTTCTCTCTGTTAGCTCTTAGCGATTGATTTTGATGTTGCAGATTCGATCGACATTGGAAGTATATCGAAGCATTTGTTGGATCAAAGACAATCGTCCAAGTAATTATTATTTAGCATCACATGTTCTCTGTTGGATTAGATCTTCTTATAATCATATACATGTTATGTTCATGTTTGAGTAGTGAGTTATGTTCCCTGTTAAAAAAAAATTCTTTGGAACAACAAGAGTGAGTTCATAGAGATGTTATGTTCATGTTTGAGTAACGAGTTTTGTTCTGTCTCATTTCTTCCCGGTAAGAATATATCTTTTTGGGACAAAAAGAGTCATATAGATGTTTGCTTGATGGGGTTTTGGCAGATACATAATCACGCACAGAAGTACTTTCTCAAAGTTCATAAGAGCGGTGCTAACGAACACCTTCCTCCTCCACGACCAAAGAAGAAAGCTAGGCATTCTTATCCTCAAAAGGCTCCTAAAAATGGTGACTTTTTATGATCTTCTTCTCATCTCCTTTGTGTTCATTCTTTGATTGTTTTGTCCACTCTGATGTTTTTCTTTTATGCTGCAGTTGTTCTTCCCTCCCACGCCATTGTTCTTTGATAACTTCCGAACTCTCCCACATGTCAAGCGCATTCATCTATTTCCTTGAATAGTAAAACAATGTTTCTGAGACTTGCAATCTTTTTTTTTTTTTTNTTTTTTTTTTTTTTGATTCAGGGGCAGGTGAGGAAGCCATTGAAACAGCAAAACTTCTTGCTCTTAAAGAGGGATTGCTGGTACAATTGATTTATAACCTTCTTTTCTAAGTGTATAAAACTATGAAACATAGGAGTTTGATGTGACCAATGAGATAATTTGGCAGGTGGGAATATCCTCTGGAGCAGCAGCAGCTGCTGCGTTGAAGGTTGCAAAGCGGCCAGAAAATGCAGACAAACTCATTGCAGTAAATCTTTTTTTTTAATCTCTGACTTACCATTAATGTTTGAGTTAGATTATGAAAAATCAGGGATCAGAATTTCGATCGTTTAGGAATCCTTTACCTCTGGCTTGATTGAAATTGTTTAGTGTTGCTTGATACCAAAACTTGAAGGTTTTTAACTTCCTATGCTTGGGGTTTTCTTTGTTTTATGTTTGTTTATCATCTTTATGGTTTATGGGGTATGTAAATAAGCCATGAGCAATTATTTGAAAGAAGTTTCAAGCAGTTATTGTTTTGTAGAATTTAAATCCACAGAGATGTGCAAGTATATAGTTTTGTTTCTCTTTGAAATTTCAAGTTTCTTGAATTTGATGAAGTGCAAAGACACATTTCTTTTCAATTTCAGGGAACTTCTATGGATGAGCATGCTTTCAGGTTGAGATTCTGGACACAAGCGGAGGGACACAGTTGGGAAAGCTTGAGATGATATTCCAACAAAGTTACATTTAAAAGTTGTAGCTGTTGAGGCAGACGGAAAGATCTAAGACAGCTTTTCAGGACATTGAACAGGTAATAATGCAATTGCTGAAGTTTAGGTCTTATGCGTTGGTTTAATATTATTCTGTTAGAAGTCACAACAGCTAGAAAGGGACGTAACATGCCATTGGTGTCTGTCGTAATAGAAGTTGTGTTGGATTTACTACCCTCAGAAACATCAAACACAATCCTTCATGTTCCTTTGTTTATGCATAGCTTCCAAAGAGTAATATTGGAAAATACACAAGTTACAAATTTTGTAACTTTCATGACAAAGCAAGAAACGTCATACGCAAAAAAAAAACATGGTCGAGCACTCATTCCTACGGACGCCATTTGGTAAGATTCTTATGTTGCACTCTGTTCTCTTTCTCTCTCTCTGACCTCTTAATTTGGATG